TGTCTGAGGTTGGACCTGAACTCACATTTTCCTGCCTCTAAGCCCGGTGCTCTCTATCCACTGGACCAACCAGCCTCTAGTAGAAAACAGACAGGATTCAAACCCAGGTCTTCTGACTCCAGAGCCATCATCACTTTCTCCTCCATACCACATGGCCTCCCACATGTTGGGACACCACACAGACATAGCATCATGAAAGTTACAAGGCACTTGCCACCAAAAGGAGTATGTCCCCTTTCCTTCCTGTGTCTTCCTATGATTCATAAATATCTTTGAGTTTATCTACAACAGGAAAATCTTGAAACTAAGAAAGATTATAGTAGTAGTAATAACAATAACAACAATGATAATAAAGATAATAATTGCTAACATTTAATAGTACTTTAAGGTTTGCAAAGCACTTTCTACAAATACCTCACTTTTTCTTTAGAACAACCTTGGACACAAGGTTGCTATTATTATATCCATTTTACAGCTGAGGAAATGGAGGCAGACAGAGGTTAAGTAACTTACCCAATGTTGTACAGTTACTAAGTATCAGTCCCGACAAGAACTCAGGTTTTCCTGACTGGTGGATTGGGCACTACAGCTACCAGAAAAGATGTCTTAACCTCCTCTGTCTGTACTCCAGCTAGAGCCCTGCTCCACGCCAATCTTCCTAAGGATGACTGAACCACTCCACGTGTCAAAATTCGGAATGACAACATATGAAAGACATTGCAACTGCAATCATTTTGGGGGGACAAATTGTAGCACAACCTTGCACACAATAGGTACTTAACAAATGCTTATGGGGGCAGCTAGGTGGCACAGTGGATAGATCACCGGCCCTGGAGTCAGGAGGACCTGAGTTCAAATACAGCCTCAGACACATAACACTCACTATAAGTCACGTAACCCCAATTGCCTCATCAAAAAAACAAAAAACAAAAAAAAAACAAACCAAAACAAAAAAAACCCAAATGCCTACTGGATTAATCTTGTACAAATGCACAATTTTGAAAAAATAAAATGATCAGACCCAGGAGGATAAGTTATGCCACAAAAATACTATAAAGACAAACAACTTTGCTAACAACCATAAAGAACTATGATTGATGCAATGACCAGCCATGATTGAGGAGAATTAATAATGAAACTGGGCAATAAGAGGACCATGAGTTTTTTGCTCACGGACTGCAGGAAGCACCACCCTACCCTGATGGAGTGAAAAGAACAGTGAGCCCGTGTTTCTGCCATTCATCAACTATGTGACCTTGGGGAAACAAACTCTCTGGGCATCCTTTACTTCATCTGTAAAATGGGGATAAAAAAACCTTAACTATCTACCTCACAGGATTGTTTCAAGGAAGCCCTACACATCTTTAAAAGTTGTGGGTTATTTTTATGACCTAAGTAGCCACCCCACTCACAAGCAGATGCTCAGAGACTGAAGGAGTCGATGGATTACAGACTTAGTGCCAGAAGTAATCTTAGCCATCCATCTAGTCTAATCTTCTCACTTTATAACTAAGGAAGCCAAGGCCCAGAAAGGCAAAGTGACTTGTTCAAAGTCACACAGATACAATCAGTGCCATGATTAGAATCCAAGACCAGTGACTCTTAACACAGTCTTATCAGATTTTTCAAAGGTATCACAAAGTACTGTGTTTACCTAAAGTACAGATTTTGAATAAAATTAATATTCAGCAAGTATATACCTCTAACAAGATCGATCATTAGGCAACTAGGTGGCCCAATAGATGGAGTGTTGAAGTTAGAAGACGTGAATTCAAATGTTCAAATCTTGCCTCTTGCTGACATTCATAGTTGTGTGACCCAGGGCAAGTCATACAACACACCCATCTCTCTCTCTCTCTTTCTCTCTCTTTTTCTCTTCCCCCCTCTTGTTGTGAGGATCAAATGAGATAACATGTATACTACTTTTGTAAACCTTGAAGTTTTATATAAACGGTAGCTATTATTACTACCAATACGCTTCCTGGAAGTTGTCTACTAACTTCTAGTCTGCATGAGGACCTGAAAACAGCACCCTTATAGTATACATTCAGATAATGCATTCTCTCCATTTTCCATCTATATGGTCTCTTGGTAACGTCATCATATCCCATGTTTAATTATCATTTCTACCTAGTTATCATTTCTACATTCCAAATCTGTGTTTCCAGACCAAGTCTCTCTCTCTTGATCATCAACTGCTTATTGGACATTTCAAACAGGATGTCCTATTGGCATCCCCAACTCAACACATCCTAAACAGAACTCATCGTGTTTCTCACCAAAAACCACTTTTCTTCCAAGCTTACATCTGTTGAGGGCATCACCACTGTTCTAGTCACTAAGGTTCATCATTAATTCTAAGGTCATCTTTAATTCTTCCCGTACTTTCAAATTTAATCAACTGCCAAATCTTGTTCATCCTATTTCCACAAAATCTCTTCATCTGTCATCCCCTTCTCTCTACTCACACAAGCATCACCCTAGTTGAGACTCATTAGTCTCTCACTTGGACTATTACAATAGCCTTCTAAGTGGTCTCCCTTGCTCCAGTCTCTCCCCTCTCCAACTGCTGCCAAACTGATATACCTAAAGCAAAGATCTGACCAACAGAATCACTGTCAGGGAGTCAGGAGACGAGAGTTCTGATCCCATTTCTGGCAATAACTATTCACATGACCTTGGTCAAATCACTATGTCTTTGTTTACAAAATGCAAAATGACTGTCCTACTTACCTAGTGCTGCTGTTGCCAGAAAAAATTAGTAATAACAATAATAACACATTTGGAAAAAGTTTAGGAGGAAATGGGCAAATAAAAAAGCCCTGCTGTTCATTACAAAGACTAAAACTACCAACTTGTAGAATTCCTGAATCAATTTTCATCTGTATATATTTTAATACATAGCAAACTGTTCTATCAATTAAACATTCAGAGGCAACAAGGGGCAATTCAAATAAGAAACATTTTAAACTGGAACCCAAAGTCCACTAGCATGAAATCATTACCAATCCAAAGCCTAACCTATCCCCAAAACTGGTGACTGGCACTTTTTTTTTTTAAAGCAGAGAATCAAAGAACTGAAAGGCATAATAAAGAATATCCCAACTTGAGAAAGTATTCCTCTCTTATTTAAACTTGTTCTCCTGAGAGAAAAAAAAAATAAGGTCTGATGCAGTGGAAAGGATGCTTAACTTGGAATGGTTAAGACCCTCCTTCAAAATCCAACCTTGCTAAACCCTGAGCCTCAGTTTCTCTATTTTTAAAATGAGAGGGTTGTACTAGATGACTTCTAAGGTCCTTTCCAGCTTTAGATTCGTGATCCTTGAAGCAAAACCAGGGTGATGATACATACCCTGGACCAAATACACAAAATGATTCCTTCCCACACTACTCTGATACTTCCCACTACAGTCTCTGAAAGCAGGTATTAGTTTGGAAGGTTAAAGTATTTAGACAACTTATGCTATTCATCATCCTATGCATGTTCCTCTCATTCTACTATCCTATTTGTTGTTTTTACTTTCCACTATTTGGTATTTCCACTGGTGGCACTCAAGCAAGGGCCAGAGGAAGCTGGCCCCTGAGTTAAAAGCAGCAGAATCTAAGCAAACAATTCCCACTTAGTCGGACCATTTTAAAGGGGAATAAATGCACTCATCCGGGGGTGTAAGACTAACTGGGAAAGGGTCGTTTCCTTTCAAGGGATTTCTGGCTACCAGTTCAACACAATCCTTCCAGGGAGCAAGGGCAGAGCCTGGATTCTACCACCTTCCTGAGACGTCAAAGGAACAGCCAGACCACAGGACCAGAGAGTAACACCCGCCTAGGGGTGGGGCAAGGGGAAACTGGACAAGCCCAGGGTGGGGCTGACAAGCCGGGAGACAAAAGAGCCGGGCCGGAGAAAAATGGGTCCTATTCAGGCAAAAGCAAACAAGGTTCCGATTTTCTGGCCCAAGTCATCAGCCCGAGGATGGAGAGGGAGCTATCGGGAGGAGGTGGGGGTATGGGGAAGACAACAGGTTTCACTCATGGTCGAGAACCCGGGCACAAACTGTGGACAAAAAGCTGATTCTGAATTCGATTCATCCAAGATGGGCAGCTGTCTTTTAAACAGAGTCCCACCCACCACCAGCCTAATAGGTAGCTGTCCCATGCAACTTCTACAGGCACGTGGGGGGGGGGAAAGGGCACACAAACACAAAAAAAAAAAACCCACAAAAACAAAAAAAAAAAAAAAAAACCTCTAGGGGAGTGGAGGGTAGGGAAGTACCCAAGGAAATAAAGGAAATGACAGCAGAGAAGACTCTGAGAAGACGCCCAGATGACCCACGAGATGGGTGGGCGATGTTTAAAGAGCCTTTTAGGGGAGGGGAAGAAGAGAGAAGGAACCACAAAGCTCTCAGCTCTACCGCGCTCCCGCTGGGGACAGGTCAGAACCACGTCCTAGCCCAGCAAGTGTAACTAGCTTTTAAAAGGGCACTGTGGTTGGGGAGAACAAGTGGTCCTCAGCCACAGAAGGCATCCAGCGTGCCGGGCAAACGCCTGGGGGCTGTTTGCCGGGAAGACTTCCCAAGAGGGAGGGCGGGGGATTTTCAACAGCATTGACCTCTACCCGCCTCCCCCCATAAAAAGAAATTGCAGAAGCATCCGTCTCATTCTAGATCCGTTCCCCACCGCTTGTAGCACCCACCTCCCTGCCCCAACCAGATATTAAAAGTATTTTTAAAAAAAACCAAATCTACAACAGTCTTAAAAATGCAAACATTTGTCTGAACGAAGAAGCAAAGCATGCTTTTTTTTGTTTTTTTCCGACAACTGGCTAAGCACAATTAAAGGAGGAAGATGCAGGGTGGAGGGTGGCGGGGTGGGGAGTGAAACCAGGGGGAAGGGGCTACCAAGGAAGGAATCAAGGCTTCCTACACCTTTCCCAGCTCTCAATCCTACAGAGGTGAAATGAGCAGACAAACAAGCAAGCACAAACAAACAGAAACATACATTACCTTGTTCATCCCATTCCCCATGGTGGCTATAAGCGAAATGAACTTTAGCACCCCTGGAAATGTGGCTGCAGGATCGCTAATTGCATGTTACAACAGGAGGAGAAGCAGGAAAGGGAGGAGGCACTAGGGAGGAATGGATTACACGCAAGATAAATAATAATAATTAATAATAGAGAGGGAGATGTTCTATACTTTTATCTTTTTTTTTTTTCTTTTTTGGTTTTCTCCAGGCGCCAGGAGATTGGCCGCCTAGGGACTTCCCTAGCCGGAGACCAGCTGAACTAAAGGGATCTTTTGCCAGGAAATGGGTTCTAAGCTTGGCCCTTCTCCGCCCCCACGTGTGAGTCAAGCAAAACCTCCCCCTAACCTCTCCGCGGTCCTCGCCGCACCCCGCCCCGGCACGACTCTCGCTCCCTTCCACGGGATTTGTAGTCTCACTCTTGGAGGCGCCGCAGTCTCGGCCCCAGGCTGCAGAACTACAACTCCCAGCGTGCAGCTCGGTCGGGAATGGGAGGGGGACGGGGAGGGAAGCGGAGGAGAAGAGGCAGTGACATTCACAGCCTGAAGCGCGCAGACGCCGCAGTCACGCTTGCCCTAAGTGTGTTGCTGCTGCTTCTGATTCACTTTCGTTCCTGGAAGGATGCGTGAAGCTCAGGGTTGGGTGGGTGGCAGAAGCCAGTGCTGTCTCTACTAATCTGCAGACAGGGTGCCCAAAATAGGGTCACAAGATGCTACGTCTAAGTCTGTTTCTAAGTAAAATGCGAAGCCACATTGGGGGCTTTTTTTTTTTCCTTTCTGGTGCGCCTGCTTTGGTTAAATCCCCTTTGGTGAAATGCAGGGAGGCCTGTTACCAGAAATTGCTGCTCTGACTTTAATTAATGCCTCAATGAGCAAGGTGCTAATCAGAACCCCTCGGTCCCTGTGTCTAACCTGCTTGGGTTTTCTTGGGATTGTCCCGACTGGGGCATCGGAGATCCCCCTGCCCTGCCCACTTTGTGATAAATGAGTTGGGCCCCCACACTCACTTTATAGCTTTGCGGCATTTCCATTCAAGAAACATTTTCCCCCTTTGAAAATAATTTTTCTGAATTATCAAAAATATTTTCTGCCCCACTTAAAAAGTCTAATTTATTTTCAAAAATCAAAAATATTTTTCGTATTTCCCCTCCCCCCCATTGAAACAAAAACATCTTAAAACAAATATGCATAGTCAAGCCAAGCAAATTACATGAATTGGACCAAAAAAAAACAAAAAACAAAACAAAACCCATGGCTCATTCTGCAGCTGGGGTCTTTGACCTGTCTGTGAAGAGGTGGATAGAATATTTCATCATCAGTTCTGTTGAGTTTCTTGAAAGGCATTCTTAAGTCTTCAAAGTTTGTCTTTACAATGTTGTTATTATATAAATTGTTCTGATTCTGCTTACTTCACTTAATCAGTTCATATAATATCATAGAGGAAGTTGACACCCAAAGGAAAACTGAAGGGGAGGAACTCCACCTCAAAGATCTCTTCCAGCTCTAAATCTGTAATCCTATGTCTTATCTCAGTAAATAAATGATAAGCTCTGATATTCAAGATATATAGGGAGTGATGCAAAATAAAAGAATAATAACCATTCTCCAATAGATAAGTGATCAAAGGCTATGGATCAAATGGATAGTTTTCAAAAGAAGAAAGGCGCACCGTCAACAAAAGGAAATAATGTTTTAAACCACTAATAATAGAGAAATGCAATTTAAAACAATTCAGAGATTTTGTCTCCCATCAGATTAGTAGAGATGGCAAAGACCTTGGAAGGAACTTTGGAAAAACAGGCACAGTAATGCACTGTTGGTGAAACTGTGGGTTGGTCCAACCATTCTGGAAAAGTTTGGAATTATACTTAAAAAGGCACTAAATTTTCATCTCCTTTATATGTTCATTGATCCAGTGATATCATCACCAAGCATAGGCCCCCAAAAGGTCAAAGATGGAGAAAAGAATTCCTTTTCCCTGTAAAAGAATAGGGCAGCATTTTTGTGTAGCAAAGAACTGGAAACAAAGTGTATGCCCATTGATTGTTGAATAATCAAACAAATGGTATTATGTAGACGTAATCATAGGGCAGCTAGGTGACAGAGTAGAAAGAGTGGACCTAAGTTCAAATTCAGCCTCAGATACTTACTGTGTGACCCAAGGCAAATCATTCAACCCTGTTGGCCTCAGTTTCTTCATCTGTAAAATGAGCTGGAGAAGGAAATGGCAAACCACTGTAGTATCTTTGCCAAGAAAACCCTAAATGGGGACACAAAGAATTGGACATGACTAATCCGCTTGAAAAAAAAGAAAGAAAGAAAGAAAGGAATCATAGTTATACAGGTAAATGTTTAACAACCAGCTCTCTAATGGAAAAAAAAATTGACACAATGAACTTTTAAGTTTAATCTTCATTATTAACATCTCCTTTACTTTCTTAAGTCTAGATAATCAATAAAACAATAAATCAAGAACTGATTTGTAGCATTTGCTGATTTCTGAGATGTAAAAGGTGACAGTGAAAATTTAATAATCATTTCTCAGAAACCGGCAGGAGATGTCTGCAGCATACCCCTGAATGTAATGAAAAACTTTGCTATTAAAAAAAACACATCAGGGAAATCTGGGAAGACTTTGTGGACTAAGCAGTACCAGGAGAACAGTTAGCACAATGTACATACACACACACACACACTCACACCCATAAAAGAAAACATTGAAAGACCTCAGAACTTTGGTCAATGCAGTGACTGGTCCTGACTTCAGATGACTGACACTTAAAAAAACCTCCCTTTTCTTGGTAAAGAAGTGGTGAACTACAGGTCAAACTGAGGCATCTGTTGTCAGATGTAGTCAATGTCTTGATTATTTTAAATACTTCCCCAGTACTTCTATAGGAGGCTTCTGTAGGACTGAGGCAGGGAGTCATAGGGAAGTGACAGTGATAGATAAAAGGTGATCAGTGAACATCAGTTTAAATGAAAATGATGCTGTGATGAATACAGACATTTTATTGTCCTTGTTTGACAACATTGTTTTTCTCCAGGTACTTTTGAAGTTCCATTCCTACTTCAGGTCTATGTCAGAACCAGTCTATGGAAGTATATTTCAATCTCATTTATGGGTGGTTCTCCACTTATATAAACTCAATTATAATGACAATAATTATTGATGATGATAATGATGATAGCTAACATTTGTATCACTTTTGCCATGTACCATATACTGGTGTAAGCACTTACAAGTATTATCTCATTTAATCCTCACAACAACCCTAAGAGGTTGATATTAACCTAAGAGGTGATATTATTACCCCCATTTTACAGATAAGGAAACTGAGGCAAATGGAATCCCTTATATTATCTTTAAAATGGAGGGATTAGAAGGGATCGTTAAAAAGAAGGGATTAGACATTATTCTAACATTTTGTAATTCAATGGCAATTGGGATTCCAAGATAAGATGTTTTCGAATGTTAGATGGGCTCTAACAGTGGAAATTTGTTGGTACTGGCCTCTAGCTCTCACAGCCCAACACTCGTTTACAATCCTCAGTTTCTTTTTCTCAGCTGAATACAGAAAGGAGTGTTAGTATGGACCGGGAGTTTTGATCTTGAATTTGAATTTTCTTTTTCTCTGTACTGCTGTCCAAATGCTCCACCTAATAATCCTCATGATTACAAATAATATAATTTTTGCATTTCTCATGATTTGATGGTCCTATAATGAATATATCCCTTTAAAATTTGGAAAGTATAGGTCTATCAACTATGGAATGGTTGAATAAAATGAAGTATATGAATGTATTGGAATAATGTTACATTATAAGAAACAACAAATATAACAAATTCAGAGAAGCACAGGAAAATTTGCATGAGGTGGTGTGGAGCAAAGAAAGTGGAACCAGGAAAACAATACACAGAAGTTATGATAATGTAAATGAAAGCAATAGCAAAAGATAACAAAATTCAGATTATATGCAATGTCAAATCTTCCCCCCCCCAAAAAAAAATGACAGAGAAACACACTCTCTTTACCAATTTAGTTGGAGAGATATGGTGGCTTACAGGTGCAGATTGTTCATATGCTGTCTGGGGACTGATTGGTTTAACACTTTTTCTTTGTTAGAAGAGAGTGTGGGGATATATTGGGAAGTGACAATAGTGTAAAACATTAAAAAAAGTCTCAATATCATATTTTTTGAAGAGTGTACCAAAGAGAATCCAGAGAGAGAGTGAGAGAAAGAGAGAGAGAAGGAGGGATAAGAGGAAGGAAGACAGGAAAGAAGGAAAGAAGGAGGAAAGGAAGGAAGAAAAAAGAAAGGAAAGAAGGAAGAAAAGGAAGAAGTCAGGGAGGGAGGGAAAAAGGGAAGGAGAGAAAAAAGAAGGGAGAAAGAAAAGAAGAGTGGGAGGAAAGAAGAAGAAAATAAGTCCTTGACATTGTCAAATGGTTTTAAATCAGAAACAGATATGATTTTATCAATGGAAATGATATTTTAAAAGATTCATTATCATCTGTTTTGAGTGGGACAGCAAATAGAGTGTCAAGCCTAGAGTCAGGAAGACCTGAGTCCAAATCTAGCCTCTGATACTTACTAGCTGTGTGACCTTGGACAAGTCATTTAACCTGTTTACCTCTGTTTCCTTATCTGTAAAATAGGAATAATAATAGCACCGACCTCTGAGCGTTATTTAAAGGATCAAATGACATAATAATTGTAAAGCACTTAGCCCAGTGCCTGTTACATAGCAATGGAAATATAAATATTAGCTATTAAAGCTATTAGCTCAATCATTTTAACCTGTGATTTAAAAAAAAAAAACTTGGAAAGACTTTCATGAACTAATGCAGAGTGAAATGAGCAGAACCAGGAGAACATTGTACACAGTAACATCCACATTATGGGATGACTGACTTTGATAGACTTGGCTCTTCACAGCCATGCAAGGATCTAAGACAAGTCCAAAAGATTCATGATGGAAATTGCTATCCACAACCAGACAAAGAAATGTGGAGTCTGAATGTAGATGGAAGCATACTATTTGCTCACCTTTTCCTTTGTTGTTTTGTTTTATTGCTTCATTCTCGTGGTTCCTCCCATTAGTTCTAATTGTTCTTTACAACATGACTAATGGGAAAATATGTTTAATATGAATGTCTATGTAGAGCCTATATCAGATTGTGCACCGTCTGGGGTGAGGAGGAGAGAAGAAGTGGGAAGAGGAGAAAATTAAAAACTCAAAATCTTATGGAAGTGAA